GGGGGGGCACTGGTTTTTCCCCCCCCCCCCCCCCCCTGCCATAGGCAGCTTGTCGGCACGGCTGACGGAGCAGGTGCTGGAGCGTGGGCCAGGCCACAGCATCTCCACCATCATCCTCGTCATCAGCCTGGTGTAAGGGAGGTTCAGAGGGGGACAGGACTGGGGTTGGAGCTGGGGGGGCGCTGGCATGGCTGTGGAGCCCAGACAGTGCTGGGCGGGGGGTAATGCAGCTGGGCGACTCCAGGGGGGCTGAGGCTGGAGCAGGGGAGGTGGGCACAGCTGGGGCAGGAGTTGCCCTGGTAGGGGGTGAGGGGCTTGAGCGCGGGAGCTGTCTCATGTCGCTCCCTTCCTTCTCCTGCGCCCTCAGGATCTGTGTGAGGTACTGGACACCTGCCTTTTGACTCCGTGACCCCCGCCTGACCTGCCCCTAGTGATTGCCTTGCCCTGACCCCACAACCCCGTGCGCCCTCATCCTGATCTCTACCCTGACCCCAGTGACTACCCAACCCTGATCTTATGACTCCTGCGCCCCCTGAGCTGCCCTGCCATGATGTGACCTGACCCTAGTGACTCCCCCGCACCCTGTCCCCAGCAACCCCTGCCCTTCGACCCCCTCTAGCTCAAGTCTCTCCTGTTCCTACCCCTATTTGCCCTGTGTGCCCCCCAGCCCCCTCTGTGAGGGAGACCTGGGTGGGCGGCCGGCTTTGCATGCTGCACCCTGGTCGGCCAGACAGATTGAGTACTTCCGCTGCTGGGGCTGGCACCAGCCAATCAGGACACTGCATGCAAATTAACCCCCCTCCCACTTTTGTTCTTAAAGGGATGGGTCTGGGAATAACGACCTGCAAACCATTCTAGCCCTAGACCTGTTATTCCCACCTCGGGTGGGGGGGCAGGGGCCCGAACACCTGCGTCCTCTAGCTCTGGGAAGGGAGTAGGGGCTGGGGTGCTAGAGACGGTCGGGGTGGGGGCTGGGAGCCCAGACACCTGGGTTCTCTGCAGCTCTGGGAGGGGACTGGGGGCTATGGGGAAGGGGCAAGGGCTGGGAGCCTGGATGCCTGGTTTCTGTCCAGTTTGGGAAGATAATTTGTGCAGGGTGGGAGCGTGGATGCCTGGGTTCTGGGCCAGGGCTGATGCCTGCTGTCCTGCAGCCTGGTGGTGCTGGTCGTCCTCAACATGCTGCTCTTCTACCGGCTCTGGGCACTGGAGCAGGCGGCGCGCACCGTGGAGGCCTGGCAGGCCTACGCCCTGGCCAAGGGGTGCGTCAGGGGTGCAGGGTGGGGTCCCAGAGGGGATGGGGGTGTCCTCAGCAACCCCTGACTTCTGACCCTGCAGGAAGCTGCCACAGACATCGGCTGAGTGGGCTGAGGTCCTGGAGCTGCAGCGCCGGTTCCAGCGCGTCGAGGTGCAGAAGTGGCGCCAGATCCTGCGTGCCTCCGTGGAGCTGCTGGACGAGGTGCTGGGGGGCGGGGGGCCGAGCCTGGATGCCTGGGCTCTCTCCAGCCCCAGGGAGGTGAAAGGCAGGAGCCCGAACACCTGGGTTCTCTCCGGCCCCGGCGGGTAGCAGGGCCGGGGAGGTGAAAGCTGGGGGCCCCAATACCTGGGCCCAGGTCTCATAGCCAACTCTCCCCTTCCCGCTGACCGTGCCCACTGCCCACAGATGAAGCTGTCCCTGGAGAAGCTGCAGCAGGGCATCGCCAGAGCTGAGCCAGAACTGGAGCCGCACCAGGACGGCGCCTTCTCCTGAGGATGGGCCCCGGGGCCGGAGCCAGGCCTGGGACTTGCCGGCCCCGGGGTGTGGACCCCCTGGCCCCTGCCCCTGTGGCTGGGCTGTGCAGAGCTGCTCCCACCCAGACACTGGGGAGTGTCTCCTGCCCCCCTGCCTCCCACCCCAGCTGGTCTAGGGCGGGGGCAACCACTGTGGGTCTCCAGTCCCCCATTAGGGAGCAGCTCCATGCTGGGAGACATACAGGGTTGAGGCCTCTACCATCCCCCAGCCTGAAGCCCAGCCACCTGGGTTCTCCCTGCAGCTCTGGGGTGGGGGGGGAGCAGGATGCCTGGTTTCGGGGGGTGGGGGGGGAGATCTAGGCTCCTCTCCTTGAAGAGGAGCCAGGGGCTGGGACACCTGGGTTGCATCCCCCCTGCGCTGCCATCCTTGTGCTGTGCCTGGGGGGGCTGGGTCTGACGTCCTCCCTGTGCCAGGGGGATTTGGCCTGGGAGTCAGTATTAGGGCTCCACTTAGGGTTGGGGTCAAGGGTCAGAGGCCAGGGGTCGGCTGTGCCACAGGTGCTATTTATTAGAGACAAATAAAGGGTGCAGAGGTGCCACCAGGACCCGCGTGTCTGCGTCCATGTGTGCTGGCGGAGGCTAAGAGCCCATGCATGTCCTGGCCCCACAGCAGCACGCTGCAGTGTGGGGGGAGGCTGGGCTGGGGGAGCAGCGCTGTGCAGTGCGGAGGGGGCTGCTCGCTGGCGTGATGCGAGGGCCCCCCCGCTCAGGGTCACCGCTCCCATTGCCCAGGGCTCTCCGGGCAGCCAGAGCGCCCCACGCT